CTCCTGGTTTTTTTTTATGATTTTCTTGAGCTCTTGGAAGGTCATATATATATGTCTTTTGAATCTTTCATTAAATACTTCTATTATTTGTTCTTCCTCAGGGAAATTTCCTAATTCTTTAGTTTGGTTACTTCTTTGTACTACATTGTGTTTTTGTTGTTGTTGTTGTTGGATTTGAAGTTACCTGTTGTGTCTGAGATGTTTTGATGTTGTCACCTTTATTTGTTGGTTATGTGCTGATTTGTTTCATCCTGGTCTTATGTTTTACTTTGTTTTAATGTATCTGGAAGTCTGGAGCTGGTATACTTCTTTGATTGTTAGCTTGACTGTAGTGGGTCATTCTCCAGCTTTCTCTTATGTTGGTAGAGTAACTGGTGGGAATGTGGGTGCAGATTTCTGTTTGTTGTGAAAAAGAGTTGCAGTTGGGATGGGCAGGTGTTGTCCACTGTCTGTCATTGATCCTTGAAATTCTCCTGATCTATCTACCCTGTGTCTTTAATGCCTTTAAGTTCTGTGAAGTTTTTTTTCTTTTTCTCTTTGATCTCCTTTGTGTTTGTAGTGGCTTATCTTTGTCCTGGCTGGGTTCACCCTCCTCCCCCCCGCCCCCAGTCACAGAACTCACTCTTTTCCCTCAATCTAATACTTTATTTTCTTACTAGAAGCTCATTATTCCAGGATCATTATTTGTATCTTTTCACCGAGTTTCTCTAAACATATGTTGAAAGAGGGAAGTGAAACATATGTTGAAAGAGGGAAGTGACGTGGTCTGTTAATAGGATGCCATCTTCCACCCGCTCTCTCCCTTCACCTTTGAATTTTCTCAGAGCACCAAGAATGTTCTTAATGTGTTGGCAGTTATAATAAAAATTATTGGGTGTTCTCTGCTTATTAGCTGTAAGTCAGCTCCCACTTCAGCTTAGGACAGTGGAGTCCTTTTTGTGGTAGCACTAAGGTTGCTAAAACTTTGGAATCCCCTTCATGTAGCTCAGTGGAGTTCCAGTAGCACAGTGCCTAAGGCATTTGACTGCTGATCGGACAAGTGGCCGTTCAAACCCCCCATCTGCTCTGTGGAAAGAAGATGGGCAATCTACTTCTGTAAAGATTTACCACCTTGGAAACCACATGTGGGTCACTATGAGTCACAGTTGACTCAGTGGCAGTGGATTTGGTTTTTTGGATTCATACAGCTTAAGAGTAATTTGATTGACGTTGCTAGACACGATGGTGACAAAACCATAGACATTGAAATAATGTAATTTATTAATTGTCCTGTAACTTTATGAAGCAAAAAGTTACAGTGTTTGCTAAAATCCTTGGGGCTGTTACACTCTAGGTTAATTAGACTCTTTCTCTCTCTCTCTTTTTTTTTTTTAAACAAAACAAAACATTTTTCACTCTTACTTCCTGATTAGCACAAATAGCCTGAAAAATACTCCCTTAACTTTGGAGTAAGTGATTTTTGATTCTTCCTGAAGGAAAAAGGATGTGCATATTCATTTTCACCTTTTCAGTAGATGAAATAAGTTTCTGGTGTACATAGCATACCATTTAAGTAGTAGTAGCAACACATTTTAACTTACTTAATTGTTTAACTTCAACAGTAGACATTTTTGAGGCCCAGATATGTGCATTCCCAAAGATCCAGAATTTCCTTGACATGATTGAATTCCCCAATATGCACATTGTAAGACAAGGACTGCAAGTGTGGGTAGTTATTTGGGCCTTGATTCCAGAAAGCACTGCAGGGAAGTGAGGAGATGAGACAGAAGGGAAGGAATTCAATACAGGATTCTGATACAGGGTGAATTAATGAGCAGGTTATTGGTGTGGACATTTGGGGAACTGTGGTAGACAGTGTGCAGAACATACTTCAGTTGTCCCACTTAAGGAACAAGAAAGCTAAGATATTTCTGTTTCTGCCTCTCGTTACGCAGTCTGTTTGCACAAGTGCCCCTGTGGCCAGATAAAGCCCTTACAGAGAAAGGCACAAGTACTTACAGTATGAGGCCTTTCCATGCATAGGAATAGTGAGTGCCAAAGGAATTTGGACAGCATTCAGCATGTGGTTCCAGGCCTTTGGCAAACTGGTCCAAATGACCTCTTTAGCCCTGTATGTTATTATCTTCCCTCACATGTCTTTCATTCTGGCTGAACTCAGCTTCTTGTCTTTACTGGTTAACAAAATTAAAAGAATTGTGTCTTTATTCATGCTGCTTCTCTGTCTAGAGTGATTATATCCTCCCTCCTATCCCCATCTGTCCCCATCTTGGGAGCTCTGGTGGTGTAGTGCCTAGGGCATTTGACTGCTAAGCAGAAGGCTGGTGGTTCAAACCCACCAGCCACTCCTCAGGAGGAAGACTGAGCAATGTACTTCTGTAGAGACACCACCTCAGAAACCCAAGGAGGGGTCGCTATGAGTCGGAATCAACTCGATGGCAGTGAGTTTTGGTTTTGTTTTTGGTTTGTTCCCATCTTGTATGTTAGGTAACTCTTTGACTTAAATGTCGCTTCCTTTGTGATACCTTACCCAACTACCCAGCAGAATTATGTGTTCCTTCCCTTTTATTTCCACAGTTCACATTCACGTGACTGCCATTGCATTTTACCCAGGATATTTTGTGGTGACTGTTTTCCTCTCTAGGTAGTATCATTAGTACAAAGGAACGAATCTCCAGCACCTAATAACACTAGTGTAAAGATAGGCATGTGGGCTTGGAAGTAGGCCAGTAAGATTCAAATCCTAATTCTTACAGTTTTTATTATATGACTTTGGGCAATTTTCTTAACAGTTCTGAACTCTGCTTCCTCATCTCTGAAAGAAACTTCTTTGAATAGTTGTAGATAAGGTAAGAAGTAACATATATGAGCATTTGGTATAATGCTTGCCACATTAGGGTTCTTACTAAATGTTAGAAGACAAGTGAGATGGGTAAGAACCTAATGTAATGAAAGCCAAGATAAAGAGCTATGAGAACACGAGAGGAATTGCTTAATTCTGGTGAGCGATTCTGAACAAACATACCAAAGAAGATGACTCAGAACATCTTTCTTTTTAATCTGAAAAACTAAGTTTGGAAGAAGTAATGAGGTCATTTAATCCTCTGAAAGCACAGTACATGTTTGGTTTCATTGTAGAGACATAAAAGTACAGAATGGGGTTCTATTTTAGATGGTGGACCTTCAAATGTGAAATGGATGTATTTGAGAAAATGTTGGACAAATTAGCATTATTTTTCTGGGAAGAGGATAAGTAAAAGAAAACACTCACTGCTGTTGAGTCAATTTCAACTTATAGTGACTCCTCCTTGGGTTTCCGAGGCAGTCTCTTTACAGAAGTAGATTGCCCAGTCTTCCTTCTAAGGAGTGGCTGGTGGGTTTGAACTGCCAGCCTTCTGGTTAGAAGTCAAATGCCTTAGGCACCACTCCACCTGAGCTCCTGAGAATAAGTAAGATAATCCAAAATTTATAATGCTTTACAAAATATAAACAAAAGTTTTCTTTCTCTCCTTTTTTTAAACTTTTTATTGTGATTTGAGTGAAAAGTTTAGAGAGCAAATTTTTTTTTCCATTCAACAGTTCATATACATTATTTTGTGGCTTTGATTGCAATCTCCACAATGTAACAGCTCTCTTCCCACTTCTTCCTTATGGTTACCTTTTCCTTATGTCCTTCTTTTCTATGCAATCCTGCCCTCTGAGCTTTCTCCCTGTGCAAATGTTGCCATTCTTCTCTCCCATGGTTGTTTGGTCTAAGGAGTACACTTCCTGATATCATTGTTTACCTCATTGGCTTGTCTATGTTTGGCTGGAGTTTAAGCCATAAGAGTGAGTTCAATTCCAGCCCTGAAGGGTGACTAGGGGCCATAGTCTCAGAGGTTTCACTTGTCTTTGTCAGACCAGTCAACCTGATCTTTTGCATGATTTTAAGTTTTGTTCCACATTTTTCTATCACTCTGTCTAGGATCTCCAATTTTGATCCCTTTCAGAGTAGGTGGCAGTGGTAGCTGGGTACCATCTAGTTCTTCTGGTTCACTAGTCCTTTGGGCTAATAGTTTTTGTGCATCTTTGATTTTCTCCATTCTTCTTTGCTCTGGACAAAAAGAGACCAATTGTTGCATCAAAAATGGCTGCTTTCAAGCTTTTAAGAACCTAGTCACTAATCACCAATGTAGAATGTAGAACAATATTTTTGTTTACCATGCTATGTGACCATTGTCCTGAACCCTCAAGCCCAGTGACTCACTTCCTCAAGGTGTTTGGTTGTGGCTTAGAAGTTATCATAACTTTGCCCCCTGCTAGCTTTATTATATAGACATTTTATAACACTTACAAATATGTATGTAGAAGTATCATGGTCATGGGTATATTCCCTTTTACCTACCAGTACCTGATCATCTTGCCTCTCTACCTATGTATCTACCTATAGATTAATGTTTGTTATTATTGATAATGTAGTATTGTGTATGCAAAAGTATTTACCTTGTCTATCTTGTACATCTCTCTGTGTCTTCCTTTTCCTTCGTGTTATTGTTTTGGTTACCCGCTTTTGGTACATGCTTTTCACTTCACCAAATTAATACATGTCTCTTACCTAGCTAGCAGTTTCCTTCACTACCCTTCCCAACCCTGGTAACCAACAAAGAAAGTTTCACAAGTTTTATTTTCATGTCGTCTTGATCAGAATGACAAATAGTATATTTGAACTGCTGTATGAAGGCGTTTTTTTTTATTAGTGATATATGAAGAATCTTCTTGGACTAGAAATGTTAGAAGAAAATATGAATCACTTATCTAGAGAGAATAGGGGATCTTCATTTTGATGTTCTTTGAAAAATAATGCCAATTTCTACCAGAAATAATATGGTGATAGAGTTGCTTTAAGATAGAGAAGTTAAGTTAGAATTCCTTAACCACTTTCTGCTGTACTAGTGTCACAGGTTCTCAGGGCATGATTGTTAAAAACATGAAATGTGTTAATGGAAATATTTTTCTTTGTTTAGGTGATAAAGCTCTTACAAACAAAATACCATTGCAAAGAAGAGGCTGAAATCATCTGTGATAAAGTTCAAGTTAAACTCAGCAAGGAATGTTTTTGTACTTCCAACATATGCATTACTGATCTAAGGATTTCATATTGGGAAGAAGCTATCCAGGAAACAAAAGGTGGTGCAAGAAATAGGAAATTGGCTGAAGAATGTTATTTCCTGTGGAAATCTACACGTTTACAGCATATGACACTGCCAGAAGATGTCAAAACCATGCTCACTGAGCTTCGAAAGGAGGTCCACCTGCTTCTATTGACTAATGGAGACAAACAGACCCAGAGGGAGAAGATTGAGGCTTGTGCTTGTCAGACCTATTTTGATGCTGTTGTTGTAGGTGGAGAGCAGAAAGAGGAGAAACCATCAGCTTCCATATTTTTCTACTGCTGTAATCTTCTGGGGGTACAGCCTGGTGACTGTGTGATGGTTGGTGACACACTAGAAACTGATATACAAGGAGGCCTCAATGCAGGACTGAAAGCAACAATCTGGATAAATAAAAATAGGATAGTGCCACAGAAGTCATCTCCTGTGCCCCATTATACAGTTTCTTCTGTGCTAGACGTACCTGCTGTCTTACAGTGTATAAACTGCAAAGTCAGTATGTCAGCTTAAAGTACTTAAAAAGGCATTGTTGATATTTTTTTTAGTCAAATTACATAGTTTAAACTAAGTTAAGACATTCTATATAGTATGGCCCAATTCTAAGAATAATTTTATTTTTCTAAAATTAGGATTTCATAGCCTATTGGAAAGATCCTCCCAACCAATATTCTTTTAAGTTTTGACAGCTATCTGTTCACTAGTTCTTGTATCTGAAAATACAGATTGCCTTCATATAAGTTACATTTACTAATATAGATAGTCCAGAAAACTTGAGAAAGTATTTTTGAGATTTCTTTTGTTGGGGGGGTGTCAAATGTTTTCATTTTTAAAAAAAATTTTATGTATCCTTTACATCTTATCTCCATGAAGATACCAAGCAGGATAGCTTGCACATGGGTATGTTCTGGCTTAAAAGTTGTTAGATGCCATTAAGTTGGCTGTGACTCAGAGTGACCATATAACAGAAGCTTGTGCCATGCTCACAATGATTGCTATGTTAAACTCATTGTTGCAACCACTGTGTCCATCTCATTGAGGGTCTTCCTCTTTGTTACTGACCCTCTGTTAAGCACGGTGTCCTTCTCCAGCACTTGGTCCCTCCTACTGGTAAGTCCAGAGTATGTGAGGTAAAGTCTTACCATCCTCTCTTCCAAAAAGGATTCTGGCTGTCACTTTCTGCAAGACTAAATTTTTTCATTGTTTTCCAGTCTATAGTATATTCCGTATTCTTCACCAACAGCAAAATCTGAGTGAATCAGTTATTCTTTGGACTTCCTTTTTCATCATCCAGCTTTTGCATGTATGAGGAATTTAGAAAACCATAGCTTGGGTCACATGCATCTTAATCATCAAAATGACATCTTTGCTTTTCAAAATTTTAAAGCAGTCTTTTGCCACAGATTTGCTCAATGTAACATGTCATTGATTTGACTGCTTCTTCCGTAAGTATTGATAATTGATCCAAGTAGAGTGAAATCCTTGACAATTTCAGTTACTTCACCGTTCACCATGTTTATGAGCCCAGTTGTGAGGAGTGTTGCTTTCTTCACATTCATTTAGAAATACTTAGATATACAAAAACAGATTCATAGTAGAGATTTATTTGAGTAAATGAATCTGGTTACTGTGAAATGAATCCTAAGTCTCATGCAAATCCAGACATGTTACCATTAAATTCTGTTTCCTTTTTTAAAAATATATAAACTATATTTTTCCTACTTTAAATGTATACTTCTCTGTTATGAATTTAATTTTTCTGTATGATCTTTTTTTTCTCCAGTTTATCTGCAGTGTATTTATGACAAATAGATTCTTCTGATTAAAAAAAAAAAAAAAAGCTGTTAAAATCAGCATATGCTCCTTTTCCATGACATTTAAACATCTTTGTAGGGTGAGTTTGTAGCTTCCTTGTAGTCTTTAAATCTTATGAAACTATTTTTACCTTATTTTCCTAGGTACCCAGTAGGGTTGAGGGGAATAGATTATCTTGCTGAGGGTAAGTGCAAGCCACGTGGCACTAGAAGTAATTTTGTTCTGTGGATCCAAAGAGGGGAATTTCTTTGGACAGCCTTACTTGCATGATGAAAACTAATCAATTCACTTTTGCTATGAACAATTTCCAGGGTACCATTTTAATTCTCAAGTGACTCTTAGAGATACCATTTGACATCAATCTCCTGTTTTTCATATTTTCAGAAATATATCTTCATTTACAAATTTCTGTATTTGATTCAGGGTTCACTTTGAGCATAATGGGAGGACATCTTTTTTTTTTTTTTTTTAATGCATTACCAGAATTAATCTTCATTTTTGTCTTGTTTCAACTTTTTATTGTGATTTGAGTGAAAGTTTGCACAGTAAATTGGTTTTCAACTCAACAATTCATAAACATTTTGCTTTGTGACATTCATTGCAATCCCCACAAAGTAACAGCACTCTTTCCACTTCTTCCCTTGTATACCATTTCCAATTGTCCTTCTTTCTTATCCCTTAATACCTTCTGAGTTTTCTCCATGCACAAATGCTGCCCTTTTGATCTCATATGGTTAATTGTTCTAAGGAGTAAGAACCTCCCTACAAGGTGCAGTTGTTCACCTTATAGACCTGTCTGTTATTTGTCTGAAAGTTGAGCCACAAGGGTGAGTTCAGTTCCAGGCTTGAAGGTTTACTAAAGGCCATATCTTAGGGGTTCCACCAGCTTCTATCAGACCAGTAAGCCTGGTCTTTTTTTTTTTTTTTTTTTTTTTAATGATTTTGAATTCTACATTTTTCCTTCACTTTATTTAGGATCTTCTGTTGTGATCCCTTTCAGAGCACTCAGCAGTGGTAGCTGGGTACCTTTAAGATGTTCTTCTGGTCTCAGGTTTATGAAGGTTGGAGTTCAAATAGTATATTGGTACTTTGGACTAGTTGTTGCCTTGTGTCTTTGATTTTCTTCATTCTTCTTTTCACCGGATGGGGAGAGACCAATAGTTGTACCTTACATCATGCTCTCATAAGCTTTTAAGACCCCACCTGCTATTCACCACAGTAATTTGTAGAACACTATCTTTGTTGACTGTGTTAAGCCAATTGGACTTGATAACCACTGTATCTATGGTTCTGAGTCCTTAGGCCCAGCAACTCATTCCGTCAAAGTGTTTGATTATGGCTAAGAAGGTTTCATAACTTTACCTTATTTGCTGTACTAGATTGTTGTTGTTGTTATGTGCCGTCGAGTCGGCCCCAACTCATAGCGACCCCTCCTTGGGTTTCCGAGGCAGTATCACTACGGAAGTAGGATTGCCCAACCTTCCTTCCGAGGAGTGGCTGGTGGGTTTGAACCGCCAGCCTTCTGGTTAGCAGTCAAGTGCTTTAGCCACTATCCTACCAGAGCTCCAGAGCTGTACTAGATGTGTGGACATATTTATAGCATATACAGATATGTATGCAGACATATCATCTGCCAAACATATATGATTGTGGGTGTAGTCCCATTCATCTTCCCATACCAGTTTTTGTTGCTGTCTGCCTGTGTATCCTTTCATAGATTGATATTTGTTATTTCTGATAATACAAAATTGTATATGTAGTAGTATTTACCTTTTTTGTCTGCAACTCTTGTGTACCTCTCTGTAGCTTCCTTTTCCTTAATGATATTGTGCTGATCACCTCCTTATTGTGTATTGCCTTTCTCTTTACACAAATTAATACTTAATACTTGTCTATTATCTAGTTAGGAGCTCTGGTAGCATAGTGCCTAAGGCACTTGACTGCTCACCAGAAGGCTGGCGGTTCAAACCCACCAGCCACTCCTTGGAAGGAAGGTTGGGCAATCCTACTTCCGTAGTGATACTGCCTCGGAAACCCAAGGAGCGGTCGCTATAAGCCGGGGCCAACTCGACGGCAAACAACAACAACAACAACTATTATCTAGTTAGTAGTTTTCTGTGCCCTACTCTCCTGTGTGTAGTAACAATCAAATGTTTCTCTCTGTGTGTAAATTTTTCTTTGACCTCCTGTAGTAGTGGAGTCATACAATATTTGTCCTTTTGTTGTTGACTTACTTCACTCAGCATAGTGTTCTCCAGGTTCTTCCAAATTATGAGGTGTTTTAGTGATTTTTCGTGGGGCAATCTATTTCTGTAAAGATTTACCACTTTGGAAAACCCAGTGGGGGTCATTATGAGTTGGAATTGGCATGATGGCAGTGAGTTTGGGTCTTTTTTTGGTTAGTATTCCATTGTGTGTATGTACCACAGTTTATCCATTCATCCATTGATGGGCACTTAGGTTGTTTCCATATTTTTGCTCATGTGAATAATGCTGCAGTGAACATGGGAGTGTGTATATCTATTCATGTGCTGGCCCTTATTACTTTAGAATATATACCAAACCAAAACCAAACCCACTGCCATCAAGTAGATTCTGAGTCATAGTGACCCCCATTGGGTTTCCAAGGCTGTAAATCTTTATAGAAGTAGATTTCCTCATCTTCTTCCTGTGGAGCAGCTGGTGGGTAATGTCTTATTCACTGTGCCACCAGATCTCTGGTTCAAATGCAAGATCAAATAGTGTTTCTATTTCCAACTTTTTATGGAAGCACCATACCTTTTTCCATGGTGTTTGTACCATTTTATAGTCCCACGAGCAGTATAAATGCGTTCTGTTCTCTCTATACCATCACCAGCATTTGTTGATTTCTTATTGAACTTTGCCATTATTGTGGGGTGAGATGATATCTCATTGTTTTGATTTGCATCACTCTAATGGCTAATGAGAATCTCTGGTTATATAGCAGTTAAAGCATTTGACTGCCAACAAAAAAGACAGCAGTTTGAACCTACCAGCCATTCCATGGGAGAAAGATGAAACAGTCCCCTTATGTGAAAATTTACAGCCTTGGAAACTTAAGGCATGGTTCTATATGTCCTGCAGGATCTCTAGGAGTTGGAATTGACTCACTTGCAGGGAGTTTTGGTTTAATGGCTAATGATTGTGAACATTTCTTTTTGTGTTTTTTGGCTGTTGTCTTTGGTGAAGTGTCTGTTCATATCATCTGCCATTTCTTAATTGGATCATATGTTTTGTTGTTGAGGTGTTGAAATTTTCTATAAAGTTTAGAGATTAGTACCGTATTGGATATGGCATTGCCAAATACGTTTTCCCAATCTGTAGGTTCTGTTTTTATTGTTTTGGATAAGTTTTTGGATACACATAAGTATTTAATTTTTAGAAGGCCTCAGTCCTCTAGATTATCATTTGCTGTTGTGCATTTTTTGTTATGTTTGTGCAACAAGGGCAAGGAGGCCACATGTTCTGACCTCCTCTAATCCCACAACAGGAAGACAGAATCACCATCAATAGCCCAAGGCCTATTCCTGCTAGGCCAGACATGCTGCCTCCCTCCAGCCCTTTCTCCAACCATTCCTCCCAAAGCACCCACCACCTCTCTTCTAGGTTCAATAATTCGCTGCAGTGGCCACACAGAACTCATAGATTATGGAGTTTATTAGGGAAGCACCAGGCTA